GCAGGGGGATGGAGACAGCATCCTCCAGAGCAGCTCTGGTCTGAGATGATCTCTCAAGATCTGTCAACAAAATCCTCCCCGAGGACTTCACCCATGCTCCAGGCAAGCAGACAAGTGTGGTGAAGCAAACCATCCTGCATCGCAAACTGCCTTCCTCTCGTCCCCGCACAGGGCACCCACAGCACCCTCAAAAACCTCTGAAAACACCGGTCCGGTCAGCAGCCTGCACAAGGACTCAGAATCCCGCTCATTTCCCCTGGGATGTGGGGAATCGCCCCGTTTCCCCCTCTGGGATTCAGGTCCCGTGCGTACCCCAGTCCCACCTTCCTCTCCCCCGTGCAGATAAAGCCACAGGAGCTCGGCTCTGCTGCAAGCCCCTCATTCACAAGCACCAACCTAGTTTGAAACGATTGTTCGAAGATCGAACTCAAACTTCAAAGAGTCCTAAATTACAGAATAAATTGAACTGAATTAACAAGCTGCTGACCCAGCCAGTCCATCTAGCATCTCTGCAGCAGGTTCCTGCAGTCGGAAACGATTGCTGGTGTAATTCCCGAGGGCTGCAGGCTGGCGGTTGCGTCCGCACCAGCCTGCCCATTTCTCTTCCCTTCGCTCATCAGGGAAAAGTCGCCAGGAACAACGCAAGACGTTGCGTGGGCACAGCCAGACCAAAGCTGGGGAGAGGCACAACCTCATCTCGCTGCTGCTGGCTCCAACAGCTCCAGAGGATTTACAGCTCATCACATTCCTCATCTGCTTTCAACCCTGCAATCTTATCTTTGATTGCTCCGTCGGGACCTTGAGGACTTCTCCTCAGCTGGAAGTGTGAGCCCGCGCTGTGTCCATGCTACCGATGATTTGTACGTCGCTGCAGTTGAGGAGTTATTTTTATATTTGATTTCACAGCCATTACTGGGTCTGTGAAATCCTGGATTTTTATAGTACAAGTGCTTTACCTGGTAATAAAACACAAGAAATGAGAGCACAAAAGTTCAGACCATCACTGCTCATGGCAAATGAGTCAGTCGCCTGCAAAGGGGGAAGTCAGCGGAGCCATCCTGAGCTTGGAAACCCTGTGGGATGGTCCTTCACACGCTGGCCTCCTCCAGGACCTTCCCGCTCAGAGCCACTAAGGAGGGGAAAAAAAAAAAATCCAAGCTGTGTTAGCGCATTTTCAGACGTAGCGCTGAGCCAGGGCGCAGGAAGGCTGCTCAGCGTGATAAGACCTTAGAAAAATCCAACCATTTACCTCTTCCGAGGTTTCAACCTCTTCCTTGTGCCCCGAGGTATGAGCATGACCACAAGTAGCTCTGCAGCAAATAATGAGCAAGGCTGAAAGCAGACAGCACGCTGCGGAATGGAAAAAATCAGACGGAGAGGCTGACCCTAGGGTGTCTGTCTGCAAAAAGGATCTGCGCTGCAAACCAAAACCAAGCACCTTCCTAGTCACTGTCAGCAGCGGAGCAGGTATTAAATTGCCTTTTATTATTGAGATGAGCTACAGTTGTTTGCATAAGAATAGTACCAGTGGGTCAATAAACGCTCCTGGAGCGTCTGCTCCAGCGCACGGAAATGACCAGATAATCTTTAGTTACTGAGAGAGGGGTGCGCCAGTTCATCAAGAGGAGACCCCACCTGCATGGCATCAGCAGTCTCAGCCGCTGCAGCAGGGTCCCCAGACGCTCGGGGACGTGGCTGGATGCAGAAGTGCCCCCGACCCACACAGAAACCAAACCTCCAGCAGCCCCATCGCCGTGGGCGAGCACCCACTAAGCCCAGCCCAGGCCTGATGCCCCAGTAACCCCAGAAGGCTGCGAGTTCAACATTCCCCGGCTCTGTTTTTAAGCCTTGCAGCTGGGGAAGATCCCCGTTGCTACGATACCTATGTTGTGGGTCCGGAGCGGTCCCATCCCACACCCGGGACCCGCCGAGCAGCTCCAGCAAGGTTTCAAGTCCATCGTGGCAGCTGCGACAGTCACACAGGGCTGCTCCCCCCTTCCTACTCTTCTCCTAAACTTCCCACTCCCCTCCAGCACTTGCCTGCAGCTAGGAGACATCCCCCATGTTCGGTGTAACCCCAAAGCTTCCCACAACCCCGGCACCGTGCAGGCAGGCAGGTGGAAAAGTACTGGGAGCAGAGCAGGCAGCAGTTGCTGCCTGGTGGGCGGAAAGCCAGTTTTCCCTCCTAAGTCATTCTTCCCAGCTCCCAAAGAAAACCTTAAACAAGCCTCCAGCATTCCTCCAAGAGCCGGAGAATCCCAACACATCTTCCTCAAACCGGGGGATTTTTGGGAATGTGTCCTCCAGCAAACACCCAGCAGCAGGTCTGAGCCGTAAATCAAGTTTCCCCAAAGTCCTACCAATGATTTATTAGTTGGGGAACTGATCAAAGGGGGAGCAGCCATTTGTAAAAGTTCCTGCCACCAAATGATATATTCTTTTAATTTCCAGTTAAATACAGAGCAAGAATATTTCTGTCCTTGCCAGCATCGCTAATGGCTGGGGATAATCAAATGCTCCACACATCGCTATTGCCACGGCAGGAGTAATTTATTTGGACATTAAAAACCTTCATAGTTCCTTCAGCCTCTTTCATTTCAGATGTATAGCTGGAGACATTGATTTGTTTACAACAGCCATTAAAAGCTTCGTTATGAGGCTTTTGCTCAGAGAAAGACACATCGCAAAGCACAACCTGGGTTTTACAGCCTCGCCATTTTAGTCTGGCCCAACTGGAGAAGCTGAAGGAAGGGGCCAGGCCCCTTTGCTCAGACCCCGAGTTATTTGGGGACAAAAAAGCCCTACAGGGTTTTTCTCCCTCCTGCAAGTCACTTAATCCCTTGTGGCTTTCACAAGTGCCCTGGGCCTCCAGGGTGCTCAAGCTTTGCTTACAAGTAGACGCCAGTCTCCCCAAGTTTATTCTTTTGCCATTTTTGGGGTGGCCGGAGTCGGTGCAGAAACGAGCCAATGGTACAACGATCCCTTGATCGCTCTGTGTGGGGAGCACGGGGACTGCTGCCAGGGCTGGCTCAGTCTTTCCTGATTGCTGCTCCTCAGGAATGTAGTTGAGATCCAAACGCATCTTTTCCTCCTGCCCCATCCAGTGGTTCAGGCTGGAAGAGCACTTTGCAGTCAGGAAGAAGTCGGATATCAAACTGCAGTACCTAAATCCCCCAAGAAGGATTGGGGCAGCTGCTGCTTCTCCCACCTTGGGGGGACGACGGCTGGGAATGCTGGCCTGGTAGGGCTGGAAAAGCTCCTCGTCAGGGTGGCGGCACTGGGAGAAGCAGCTGCTCTTCCCATCAGCTATGGGGTCAGGATGATGGACACAGATGCAAGTGCAGGCCATCTAACTTTCTGCTAATGCTTCTGCAGCACAGGACACGCTACAAAAATAAAACATGGAGCTTTATTTCCCCCATCACGCAGCCTTGCCTCAGGCACATAGTTCAGCCCTCAGTCCAGACTGCTCTCCATACAAAGGTAAGGAGCACATTTCCTCTGCCCACAGCCCAGGTGCTGTGCTGTAGGTAGCACTGCTGGAACCTATCGCACCAGGCCACAGCCGTGCTGCGAAAAGGAAACTTAAGGCACAACAGCTTTCCCCAGCAAACCTTCCCCGCTAGTAAGCACGGGGAAACCAAAGCAATACAAATAACCTGGCCTTGTTCACTGACAACTGCGGAGACAGGAAAAAAGCTGAGGTGGAGATAAGGGGGAGCCTTCCTTGTCTTCACAGGGTCCTGCACACAAACACAGGCTGCCTTGGGTCAGCCCAAGAGCAGAAGGGATGGGTTTTAGGAAGCACTGTTGGCTTCTCACTTACGAGTGTCTCTGCCTCTGGCACCGCAGTGAAAGCAAGAGCTGTGACCTGCTCCTGCTCTCCCTGTGCAGCCTTCCTGGGCCGGGCTGGATGGGAGGATGCTGTGCTGGGCAGGACGGAGGGCTCTGGAGCTGTAGTCACCTGCTAGCCCACCGCACGGAGCTGAAGTCACCTGCTAGCCCATTGCATGGATCTGACACCTCAGCTGCTGGGTGCTGCCCAGCCGGAGACTGTGAAGCCCACAAGACCCCCCCTGCCAACCCCGTGGTGTACCCAGAAACCCACAAAGTGCTGCAGAAGAGACTTCAAGGCACAACCGTGGGCTTACAGGACACACCACAAAAAACACCTGGAGGGCCATGGAGTGCACGGAAATAAACGCAGAGGGCTCTGGGGACATCAAATAGTGCACGGAGAGGTTGAGGGGCGGCCAGAAGGCGCTGGGAGGGGCCTGCAGAGCAAACTGAAGGGGCCCGCAGACGGCCCTGGGGGCTCTTCCACACAGACGGGGGCTCTGAGGGACAAGAGGCAAAGGGAGGCCTCCGCAGCGGGGACACGGAGAAGCCAACGATCGTGGGCACCACTGAAAGGCGGACAGCGGCCGGGGCGGGGGCGGTCAGTACCTAAGCAGGTCGGCTCTGACGGCTCTTCCTCCTCCGAGGCGGGCTTTGCCGGTGCGAGAGG